GTTTCATTCGTCGATTTATCGACCTTCGACGAAAGAATTGAAAATTCATTTAAATGAAAAAAAAAAAAAAAAAAATTTCGCGTTTTGATCCGCGCCTACTTTTTTTAAAAGTTCAAACGGATGCCAAAAAAAAAAACGAGAAAAAATTGAAAGTGAAACATAAAGAATTGCGTTCGGTGTTGCGTTTTACAATTTTTTAGGTAATTTAAGTACATAAAATTTTATTAAAAAAGGAAGACGCGAGAGTACGTAAGTTAATTACGGAAAGAGAGAGAGGTGACGTCATTAATAACCGTTCGCTTTATTTGTTTTCCCCGAATCAGTCATTCATCCATCGTTGTTTTGTGCGCGTGTGTGTGTGTGTGCGTGAGTGCGTGGCTTCCCTGTCTGATTCAACAGGCCTCCCCCGTCCCGTTTTCGTTCCTGCTTTGTTTCCCCCCTTCTCCCACTTCACCAGAGTAAAAAAAAAAAAAAAAGGAAAAACAATGGGACTTAATCGTTTTCGTTAAGGTCGGAAAATTGTATCAGTTTTTTTTTTTTTTTAATTCATTCGTTTGTTATTATTATTATTATTATTATTATTAATTGATTGCTCGAAAAAAAAAAAAAAAACAATTGTCGTTTGTTGTTTTGATTGTTGCGATTGTTGTTGTTGTCCGTAGGTAATTTTTTTTTTTTTTTTTTTTTTGTAAGAAAACGCGTGTGAGTATGTTAATGTATTGAAACACTATTAAAAATTGAATCATTATTTTTTGTCTCTCTCTCTCTCGTTAAAATAATAATAATAATAATAGTAATGTCGTCACAGGTTTTTGGTGGTCGCGAATTTTTCCCTCGTGAAGTGAGTGGGGGGCGATGGGCAGGCCACGAGCTGTCGTTCGCGTTTTATTCCCATTTTTTTTTTTTCCCACCCGCGAGAATTTTTATTTATTGGCGTGCGGTTCGTTATCTAAACAGGTGAATTAATCGTGATTAACGACAGGAAATTCGGAAAATTCAACGACAGGAATTAAATTATAAATTAATCAGGTGGTGGTGGTTGTGTCGTCATTTTTAACACGTTTTCCGATGGAAAATTAATCGATTATAATCCGTAAAATTTTCGTGACGGATTTTTTTTTTTTTTTTTTTACTCTATCGATCAAAATGTTTGCGTGAGGAGGATTTTAATTTTAAAAATTCAATAAGAAAAAAAATTGGGGGGAGAGAGGGGTGCGTCGAAACTCGGGGGGGGGGAAATTGTGCGAAAAGTCGTGAATATCGCGATTCGAATTTTTTCTACTTCTTATTTCTTGCCGTAGGCGTTAGCTATGAAATGCATTTGCTCCCTGCACAATCGCTTTCTCCCCACGCACACATGCATTTCCTACTACGCACGGATAATACGTACGTACGCACGCACGCACGCACGCGTATATGGTAAAATTTTTTAAAGTTTTTTTATTTATTTATTTTTTTTTTACGTACGATTATGATTCAGCGGCAATTAAGAGAAAGAAAGAAAGAAAAATGGCCGATCGTTCGTTCGTGGCGATTTTTTTGTCACTGCCAAATAATAACACGAACTAAATTTCTTCCTTCTTCTTCTTCTACTTTTTTTTTTGTGTTGGGAGGTTTCCAATGTAAATGGTAACAAGAGAAAAAAAGGAAAATTTCGAAGAAGAAAATTTTCCCGCGACAGCTGATGATGATGATGATTAACAAAATTGTTTTTTCTGTTTTTCCTATTTAAAATTTTTTAAAACCGTTTCGTAGAATCCGCATTAAATATTATTATTATTATTATTATTATTATTATTATTATTATTATTATTATTATTATTATTATTATTATTATTATTATTCTTTGTTGCTCTTTTGTTTAATGTGCGAGATGTTGGTAAAGTGAATTTTCACGTTGCCAACGTGAGAAAAAAAAAAAATTTAAATTGATGGAATAATTTTTATTTACGCAATTTCCCGCGTTTTTTCATTTTTCTTTTTGAAATGATGAGTAAAAAAAAGTTTATTTTCCTTTCTCTCTCTCCCTTTCTTTCTCTCTCTCTCTCTCTCGTTTCGATTTACTAAATTTTTTCAAAAGAGTTAAATTTGGAATAGGTTTTTTTTTTAAAAAAAAAAAAAAAAGGAAAAAGGTTTTGTGAAAGTTGTAAAATGTTTCAAAGGTTTGAAAAACTCTTTTAAATTTAAATTTTTCCCAAGTAGAAAAAAGAAAAAAAAAGTAGGGGGCGGGTCTGGGCGGGGAGAAAAGTTAAAAGATGAGAAACGAAGCGAAACAAAAGAATAAGAAAGACAGGGAGAAAGAGAGAGTGAGAGGGATAAAAGGAAAAGGTTTTTCTTCCTCTATGTAGTAAAACAATGTTTATAAAAAGGAAAGGAAAAAAGTTTTTCGAATTCTAAAAAAAGGTTCGAATAAAAAGTATAAAAAGAAGAAGAAGAAGACATTATCCGAATGAATTGTCGTCGGTGAACTTTTGCCACGCGCTTTCGGTTTTCTTTTTTTTTTTTTTTTTGTGGGGGGATGATATCAAAATAATAATAATAATAATAATAACTTTAAAAATCGATGATACCAACGATCGTTTATCTAAAGTTGTTGTTCTCGTCGGCGAGAAAACCGGGGGAAGGGGGGAAACGAAATAATAATGGCGTGTAAGTTGTTGTTGTTGCAGGACTTAAAGTGACCCCCCAAAAAAAAAAAAAAATTGATGATGATGATGATTTCATATTGTTTTCCCGACGATTTGAAAAACGTCTTAAACGAAGATTTCCAACCCACGCTATAAAGCAGGACGAAAAAAGATTCGAAAACGTTTGTCGAAATAATTGTCGCGAATTTTCCGTTCGAACAAAAAGAGAGAGATAGAGATAGAGAGAGAAAGGTTACGAAAAGGTTGCAAGAGCAAGCACGTCGTCGTATCTTTACTGATAATGCAATCAAAACGTTTCGAAATTTTTTTTTTTTTTTTTTGATAAAAGGTGAATTAACAATATTTAAAATCTTTAGATTTTCGATAATTTCGATGTTGATGACGTACGAAGGTCTCCTCATATCTCTCTCTCTCTCTTTCTCTTCTTACATCAATCACAACTCGTACGATGATGATGATGATGATAATTTTCACTTTAAGAATTTCTTATTGGTGTGCGATAAAAATTGTTGCATTGATAACAATAAAAAAGTGGACGGGTAGATGATGTTTGTCTTCTGCTTTTGGTTTTTGAACGGTTTAAATTTTTTAAATGTGAAAATGAGAGGAGTGAGAAGAGAGAAAGATGAAGATGAAGGAGGTGGAGGTGGAGGGAGAGGGGAGGGGGAAAAAGAATTTTTTTTTAAAGGTGCGATAAAGCGGCGGTTCACCTTCGTTGATTCGCGTAAATTTAAAAAATTTTTCATAATCGGCCTAAAATGCGAAATCAAGGCTGCTTTGTTAAATATATATATAAATATATGTTAAAAATTTGTTGTTGTTGTTGTTTGTAGTTGTTGCTCATGATTCAAAAGTTTAAATGCTCACTTTGATACGGATCAAAGAGGGGTGGGGAGGGGAAGGAAGGGGAGGAGCCACGGAGGAGCCGCGTGGTCAGTCCGTTAAAAATGAGGAAAAACCTTGTTCGTGTACGAAAAGTTGTTCTTTTTTTTAAAAAAATTTTTTTAATACCAGGAACTCCTCGTAATTTTAGAAAAATAATAATAATAATAATAATAATAATAATTACGAAGGGCTTTAATATCAAAAGTAATGAAAAAAAATTACGTTATCGATAATGATTGTTAAGGGGAGGGGAAGGAGGAGTAGGAGGAAGAGAAGGAGGACCCATTGTTTTTTTTTGGTATTGTTCACGTTTTTAGTAATAATTGATATTTTCCGGATATTTTTTTTTTTTGTTCGTGGTAGCAGAACCGTTGGTTTGTTTTCAAAAAAAAGTCTAAGAAATGTACGATTTTTTAAATTTAAGGTTTTTCTTTTTTATAAAATCAAAGAGAGAAAGAGCGAACGTACGAGAGAAGGTTTTTTTTCTTCTTATTATTACTTATTTTCCTCCGCTTTTTCCCTCGTTTTCTTCTCCTGCGATATTTTCTTCCCTCCCTCTCTCCTTCCTCCCTCTCTTCCCCCGTTCGCTTCTTTCCACGTTCGTTTCTGTGCTCCTTCGCGTTTTTTTTTTTTTCCTGACGTTTCGTACTCTCCTCCCACGCAAGAGGAAAAAAAAAAAAAAAAACTCAATTTTTGTTTAAAAAATTTTTTTTATTCCGCCTCGTTGAAATTTTTTTTCATACACGTAAAAGACAAAAAAAAAAAAAAAAAAAAAATTTTTTTAATTTGCGAATTAATCAACGAACGAACGTACGAACGTGGGAGAAGGGGGGGGGGCAGAAACACGTTCGGAGCGATTTTAACGATTTTTTTTCCCCGATCGAACGGAATTTTTTTCTTTGGCACTACGAGTTTTTGATGATAACGTTTTTTTATCCGGGACACTTTCAAAGTAATGAAAGTAAAATTTTAATTTTACCTGTTTAATTTTTTTTTTTTATAATGCGACGTCAAATATTAGCTTTCACGGATTAAGTTGAAAAAAAAAAAAAAAAAAAAACAAAACGTAAAATAATAATAATAATAATAATAATAATGATGATGATGATGATGATGATGATGATGACGATGACGGATAAGAAGAGGAGATGTCGAACAAGTTATTTATCGATCGTCGTCGCATCGTTTCCGTCACTGGATTTTTTTTTTTTTTTTTCGGTAAATTCTAAATAGGGGGGGGGCGTTCGAGTAGAGTGCGTGTACGCACGCACGCACGCACGCACGCACGCGAGAGTTGGTTTAACGTCGGAATTTTTGTAAAATAAAAGAATAAGAAAAATGTAGTTTTTTTTACATCTCGTGTCGAATCCATTAATTTTAACATAGAGAATGACAATCACTATCTGGCGGTTGTTTGGTTGTTTGGTCGGTCGGTCGGTCGGTTGGTTGCTTACTTACTTTCTTTTAATGCGCAAGGCCGAGCGAGCGAGATATATGTAAAAATTGATTTTCTAATAATGCCATTTCGAAATCTTTCTTTTCTCGTTCTGGTTTTTTTTTTTTTTTTTTTTTTTTTCTTATTTTTATTTATTACGCTGCACTTTAGGCGACGTATTGCGATCGATTTTTTTTTTTTTTTTTTGTAAAACGTGCAACCTTTTTATTTTTCTTTTCTGATAAAAATCATTTTTTTTTTTTTTTTTTTTTACAGTATTTAACCATACCGTCACTGCAAGGCCCGTCCTCACGATCACAGATTTTTAATTTTACCGTAAGTCTCAATGCCGACGAGGGAACGTTCGAATGCTTGCAAAGCAAAGGGAGCCGAGCTCTCGAATCATGCGGACCTTTGTCTCACACAATGTGCATTCAAGCCAAGGAAGATGTTTACGAAGCCACGAGAAATCGAATGGCTGAAGTTGAAGAGCAGCAGAAGAAAAATCGGTACGTCGAAACGAAGGGGAAAGGGGAGGGAAGGGAGAGAGGGAGGGAGAAAGGTGCGGATTGTTTTATTATTATTATTATTAATTTTCTGCGTTTTTCATGACTTGGCAGTACTCAAGTTATATCGAACGAAGCTGAATTTCGGCGTAAAGTACCTGGATCTTCATCTCATCCCATTAGGTCTTATCCCAACGTGACAGGTCCCTCAAAAATAAAGCCATTTCATTCGAGAATAGTATCAAATAATCATGCTCAAAAATCAGGAAATCCTGAAATCATGCGGAGGCCTTTAAGGTATGGGAAAAAACATAATAATAATAATTTTACATCGGTTATAAAATATTTGAATTTTTTTTTTAACCGTTTGTTGTTTGTTTGTTTGTTTGCAGGGAAAGAGTGATTCATTTGTTGGCTCTCAGGCCGTACAAGAAGCCAGAGTTATGCGATAGAATGAGTCGAGGTATTTGCCGATGACAATTTGTTTTACACATATATATTATTTATTCTTCTTCTTTTTGGTTTGGTTGAAGCTGACGGTAAAAGTTTTTCGTTTTAGATGGACTAAGTGAAAAAGATAGGAAACTTTTGCCGCAAGTACTGTCTCAGGTGGCCAAATTAGGAACGGATAACGCTTTTCATCCCATTAGGGGAATATGGAATGACGTTCAAGAGGACTGGCCGTTTTACACGGATCAAGATAGGCAAATATTAAGACGGTAAGTGTTGGTTGTGGTGGTGGTGATGGTTGGCAAATTGGCAGGTAAAAGAGAGATAAGAATAAGATCCTTTCTTCTGAAAGGGGAATAATTGAAGGAGGTTAAATACAATTTGCCAATGCAGGTCAAGTACGTTTCGCCAAAGGCGAAGACTGGGTTTTGACGACTATAGGTTATTATTTAACAATATTGATACGAAAGAAAATTTATTTATCGCGAGCTCAATAATATTGTTCGATTAATTGCAAATTTTTTTTCTTTTTGTTCGAATTTGACCTTGAAGGTGAATAAAATTTCTCAATAGACGTTTAACATTTTCATTTTTCAATTTTCATTTTTTTTTTTTTTAAGGCGTAAACCTCAGAATTTAACTCCTCCGGGGAGTAGCGATACTGGGAGTACGGGAAGTGGTCAATCGCCAACCAGCACTCATCCCGGAAGCCCTCCGTCAATCATTCAAGGGGCTCCCAAACGTCCGGGATACCATGAAGGAGCCGACGGAATACAGTCCAAGAGACGTAGGATTTCTCACTATTGTAAACCACAGGTAGATAATTACAGGCCTCCTCAGGAATCCGTCATAGACAATTACCACAATCACCACCATAACAATCACCACCATCATCATCATCACCACGATGACGATGCGGAGGAAACGCCGCCGGTTAACGTACGAAACCGACCCTACGGTGTTGACAACGTCAACACGAACGTCAACGCCAACGCCAACTCCAACTCCAACAACAACAGTAACGCGGGCTACGGTTTCGACGATAGGAGAAACAGGCGACTGGAAGAAGACTTGCGTAAAAAAGAAGATCGGGGTTACGTAGCTAAAAACATTAGTGATTCTAAAAAATCTAATAGTGTTGCTAGTGATTTTAATAAAAGACCTAATAATAATAATAATAATAATAATAATAATAATTACGGTGGGAACGAAGTGAAAGAAACAATGGGTATGAATAATTATTTAAATGATAATACAAAATTGATGTACGACCGAAAGCTTGAGGAGAGTGTGAAACGTGCGGATAGCCCCGCAACCGTGACAAGCTCTCAGCAACAAATGGAAGCCATGAGGTCGAAATACGATTATTCCGATACGAGAACTAAATACCAGAATTCGGATACGATTCAGGAGAACACCGTGTCCGCATCGGACACGGTCCCTGACTACATCACGTAAGTCATCGTATTTATCAAATTTTTTTATAAATTTTATCGCTTATCCGTTCTAAACAAAAAGTCCCCGTCGGAATTGAATGAAAGAAAAAACAAAAAAAACGAACGTACATCAACAACGAACGTACGTTCATTGACTCTAGATAATCCCAAAGTTTAATGATATTATTAACAATTTCATAGAAAAAAAAAAAAAGGAATTTCCCGAGGGAAAACGGTGGATTGGCTTAGTCAGTTCATGTTTTCCCCCTCCCCCTTTCCTTTCTTTCCCCCCATTATTCTTAGGAAAAAGGAGACGACGACCACGCAAAAAAAAAAAAAGAAAAGTTTTGCCGGAACGCCGCGACGTTCCATTTTCATTCATTTCATTTTAATTATTTTTATTACGTAATCTTGATGACGTCAGTGATGATTGTTTTTTTTTTTTGTTTTCCGACAGAAAATACACGACAATTACCAACGACGCACAGAGGCGTCAATACAAGGAAGAATTCATATCTTGCTATCCGGAATACAAGGCTTTGCACGCGAACATGGATAAAGTAACGCAGAAATTTTCAAGACTAAAAGATGAACTCTCTAAACACGATAAAACAAGCAAAGAATTCAGGGTAAGAAAAAAATGGAAAGAGAGAGAGTGAGAGAGAAAGAGGAAGAGGAAGATGGAGAGAGAGAGAGAGAGAAAGAAAGAAAGGAAAAGTGCGAACGCTCACGCGTTCGTTCCCTTTTATCATTTTATTTCATTTCATTTCGGGTCGTTTAATTTTCAAGTCACACCCGAACGCGTCCCGTTCGATTCGTTTCGTTGAAAATGGAAAATTGAAAAACTTTTCTTTTTCTTTCTTTTTCTTTCTTTCTTTCTTTTTTTTCTCTTTTTTCTTTCGGTTGTGGGAAAAACTTCCGGAGTGAAAAAATAACTGTCGGTGTCATATCCCGTCGGGAACGAGTGAAATTTTCATTCCTTCCCGGTTTTTTTTTTTTTTTCATGTTTTTCCCTTTTTCACGATTTTTTTTTCCTTTTTTTGTTTCCAGGATTTAAATAAGCTCATTAAATCCGAGTATAACGACAGACTGGCGGACAAAACTTATCAGGAAGAGAAAAAGAGGTTCTACTACCTACACGGAAAATTGAGTAGGATAAAAAAATTGGTGTCGGAATACGACGAAACGGCTTATTATTAAAAAAATAATTAATAACGTCTACTGCTAATCTAATCAATGAATTCGGAGAGAGGGAGAGAGGGAGGGAGGGAGGAAAAAAAACGAAAAATTTTCCTTTTGCAATCATTATTATTATTATTGTTGTTGTCGTTGTTGTTGTTATCACACACACATGCATTTTCATAGCGTTTCGGATATCAGTATTAAAAAAGTGAAAAATGAAATGAGTGCTGCTGCTGTCGCCGTCGGTGCTGTCGCTGCTCCGGGAAAATAAAAGAAAAGAGGGAGGGAAGAGGAGGGAAGAAGGGGAGGGAAATCCGTCGGATCACGCAGTTCAGGTTTGTTCGTATTTTTTTTTCTATCTTTTTCGTTTAGTGGAATCGACGGGAGGGGGTATTTGAAAACTCGTATCGATATCGAATCGAACGGTATAAATTTCTGGGAAAAAAGGGGGGAGGGAGGTGGAGGGAAGGAAAAATAAAACTATTTGCGAATTTTCTAAATTTTTTTTTTTCGTTTTTTTTTTTGGCGATTTTTGGTTTGAACGCGCGCACGAACGCACATTAATTTCGTTTAACCGTTCGATTTTTTTTTTTTATTTTCCCTCCCCTCCCCTTTCCCTCCCCTCAATTCCAAGCACGGAGGAGTGGCAGGCACTCGACGGCGATTTTTTTAAATTAACTTATTTATTATTATTATTATTAATTAATTAATTAATAATCACTCGATGTAACGAATCATCGATTGATTATCGTTTTTTTGTAATTTACGTTTTCTTTTTTTTTTTTTTTATCGTTTCGAATTATTTTACGCCTGGAGAAAGAGAGAGAAAGGGGGTAGGGAGTGGGAGATAAGGGGGTAGGGAGAGGGCGATTTAAAATTAATTAATTCATTTTTCACGCGTCCCGAAAAAAAATTATTTTTTTTTTCCTTCCTTCTCGATCGTTTATTAAACTTATTTAAAATAAATAATTTTTACCTAACGGTGCCAAAATAAATAAATCGAAAATTTATTATATTAAAAAAAAAATAAATAGTTAATTAAGTAAATATTTAATTAAAAGAAGAAGAAGGGGGGTGGGAGAAAACCTGGAATAGGAGGAGGAGGAGGGGGAGGAGAAAAAAGGAGGAAAAAGGAGGAGAAAAGCGTTGTGTCCCTTTCTTTCGGTCATACTTTTACATATATATATATAAAATTTTGGTTGTGGTTGAATGACGTGTGGGGTCCATCTCACTTAACGTTACGTCACACGCGATTGTGTACAGATTTTCCCTTATTGTTTTATTATTATCATTATCATTATCATTATTATTATTTGAATCGGTTGAATTTTAAATTTAAATTATTAATTATTATTATTATTATTATAGTTTTTAAAAAAATAAAATAAAATAGAAAATTACAAAAAAAAAAATAATAAAATAAATAAATGAATGAATAAAAATTATTAAAAAAAAAAAAAAGTTAATAATTAAAAATTATATATATATATTTCATCGACGAAAAAAAAATGATTGATTTGAATTATTAAATACATAAATAAATAAATACATAAATAATTATTAACAAAAAAAATTAAATAAAATAAAATGAAAATAAAAAATAAATAAATAAATAAAATATTAATCGTATTGGAAATTATATTATAAATATTATCATTATTATTATTATCTTTTTCTTCTTTTTATTTATATTATTATTATTATTTTTTAATGTTTTCATTATTATTAATGCTATCGTCGTTATAATTATTATTATTATGATTATTTTCGTTATTGTTATTATTAATAATAAAAAAAAGGGCGTGAGACGTAACGTGATGGGGGGAGTGGGCCCCCCACTCATTGATTATAAATATATATATATGTGTATATTATATATATATATATTTATATACATATAGATAAAAAATTATTATTATTATTATTATTATTATTAATTTTTAAATTGTTTGTACATTATTAATTTTTTTTTTTTTTATTATTATTATTAATAAGCGAAATGGATTTACCGATGAAGACATGGCGCTCACTAATGTTGAATCGTTTTATTATTATTATTATTATTATTATTATTATTATTATTAATTATTATTATTATCGTATTTGTTGTTTTTTTTTTTTTTAAATGGTAATTAACTGAAAGTAAAAGAAAAAAGAAAAGAAAAAAGTTACGAGTGACGTCAAAATGTAATTAATATTATCGAACTGAACATAATGGCAATCGAAATGACGATGATGATGATGATGATGGTGATAATAATAATAATAATAATAATAATAGTGAAGATGATGATGACGACGATGACGATGATGGTAACAATTAATTAATTATCATTATCATGGCGGTCGTTGTTATCAATCGAATAAATAAATAAATAAATAAAATATTGTAATCATAGTTGTGTATGTTGTTGGATGATGATGATGATGATAATTTAAATTATAAATGTACGTTGTATATTAATAAAATTACTTTGGGTCACGGTGTGCGTGCGTGTGCGTGCGTGCGTGAGTGCGTGCGCGTGTGCGTTTGTATAAAATGTGAAAAAATAATGCCAAGTGAAAAGACACTCAAGCGAGCGACGACGATGATCGTAGTGAAAAAAAAAACCAGTGGATTTTAAACTTTATTATTATTATTATTAAATTTTTTCTTTTTGTTCGAACTGATTGCTTTATTATTATTATTATTATTATCGTTGTTGTCGTTGTCGTTGATTTTTGTTTGTTTGTTTTCGAATGAAATTTTCTTATCATTATTATTAAATTTTTTTTTTTTTTTAAACCGTTGCCATAATTTTTTTAATTAAATTAATTCATTCGAATTTTATTATTATTATTATTATTATTATTAATGCGATTCCGCAGTGTGATCACTTGGCAATATTTTCCCGTATTATTATTATTATTATTATTATTATTATTATTATTATTATTATTATTATTATTAAATTATTGTTAATCACGTGGCCAAAATTTTTTGCTGTCGGGTAGTTTTTAAAAATTTTTTATTCGTTTGTTTGTTTGTTTGTTTTTTTTTTTTAATTTTTTTCTTATGGTTATTATTATTATTATTATTAGTTTTTTTTAATGTTCGAGTCGATGTTGTTAATAATAATAATAATAATAATAATAATTGAAAAATGTGATAATGAGAATTTTTTTTTAAAAGTATTTAATGTGTGTCAAGAAGATTGAGATGAAAATTTTCAAACTCGTAATCGGCTACGACGATATCGATGATACATGCGGCTGTTGTTGTTGTCGCCTGTCGTCGTTTGTCGTTTGTCGTTTTTGGTGAGTTTGAAATCTTTTAATATATTAACAAACAAAACAAACAGATTGTTGCTCATAAGAAAAAAAAACAAAATAATCTCGAACGTTTTTTTTTTTTTTTATTTCACAAAAGTCGAGTTCGTGAACGGAAGCAAAAATTTTTTTTTTGTTCTTTACAGCAAACGGCAAGCATTCCACTTAATTCTTGAGTAAATTAATATAAATTTACAGCTTCCGTTTCCGTTTCCGTCGTTGTCGAACGTCGCCCTCGAACGTAATAATAACGAACGGCGTTTTTAGTTTTTCGATGAACGGTCCGCGATCCGCCATTTTAAAAAAAAAACGTTTTTTTTTTTTTTTTTTTTTTATCAAACGATTATTATTATTATTATTATTATTGACGATCGATCGTGAGTTAAACTGTCCCGACAGCAAGAAAAGACATTTTATTAATAATGTATAAACTAAAAAAAAAAAAAAAACGATGATGTATAATAAGGCGAATGAAAAAAAAAGAAAAAAGAAAAAGAAAAGAAAAGAAAAAAAAATTATTATTATCCATGAAATTGCGAGAAACCGGAAAGAGAGAGAAATCGTAATAATGATTGGATAAAATAATTTTTTTTCCCCTTTTCTTTCTTTTTCTTTTTCTTTTTCTTTTTAAAAAATCATGTTAACCAAATCTTTGCTTCCAGTATTTAGTCATAAAACAAAAACAAAACAAAAAAAATAAGAAGAAGAAGAAGAGGAAGAAGAAAAAGTTGCATTTTTTTTATCGTCTTTCGTTTTTTTTAGGTTTCGGTTCCTTTAATTTGTTTTTCTCGATAGTGATAAAATTAAAATCATAGAGTAAATAAAATTGATGACGTCGTGGTTGTTTAAACGCACACACACACGCGCGCGCGGTCGACTATTTCCACGTTTTTTTAAAAAAATTTTCTCTCCCTCTCTCTCCTCCCGACGGGAGATTCAATCGACCGAAATTGAAAAATCCGTTGAATAAATCGATCAATCGATTGGATCGATCGATTCGATAGTATCGATTGCATCGAATTCTTTTCTAGTCAGGGAAACGATGAAACTCCGGAAATGATAAAAAAAAAAAAGTGTCGAATTGTCGTCTGCTTTTAACTCGGAAAATTTTGTATTTCTTCTTACAGGTTTATCGATCAATCAAGTCCGCCATTTTTTTCCTTTTTATTATTATTATTAAATTTTTGCTGTAGCATTTAGGTTCAAAACGATCATTCCTTGAATTTTTTTTACTATTATTATTATTATTTCGTTTTAAACATCACATGATTAATTTAATCAAATGACTGATTTCGAAAGGTGCATCACATTCGAATTCTTTCACGTTCTTATAAGAAAGGAAACGAAATTTTTGGCGGTTTTAAAAGTGGATCATACGAAAGGATTATCGTCGGATTATCCTTAATCCGCGTTTTCGATTTTTTTTTCTCTGTGCAGTTTCGAAGAGTTTTTTTTATCCCGCGTTTCCCTTATCACGTACCCTCTTTGTACTTGTTTTCTTTCTGCTTTCCCCCCTCCCTCCCTCCCTCCCTCCACCTTAGTGCCATTCGCTGTATGTATGTATATATATACAGATTTTCTAAAAGAAAATGATTTCGCAATCGAATTTAAACCGAAACCGGAAACGGAAACAACTCAATCAATCAAAAAAATGCAATTTTTTTTTCTTAGGTGTAAAAAAAAAAAAATTAAAAAAAAATAAAATAATAATGATATATGGTATAGAAAAAAAATAAATAAAACACGCATTAATAATAAATAAATAAATAATATAATTATGTAAAAATAAAATTTAAAAAAAAATAAACAAAAAAGAAAAAAGAAAAAATAAAAAATAAAAAAATGGTGGATTTATGGTGACGACCGGATTCGAGTTATGACTGATTAGGTCATTTTGTCGCGTTTTGTCGAAAAAATGTCGGATTAAATTTCGATTTTTTAAAATTTTTTTTTTTATAATTTTTTTTTCGCGACAAAATGACCGCCTTTTTTTTTTTTTAATATATATGTATATACATGTATGCATGCATGTATTATGTATATGTTTATATATATATATATATACATATTTGTGCACACGCATAATAATAATAATTATTATTTTTATCGATAAATTTGACTTCATTTAAAAAAAGAAAAAAAAAAAAAAATGTATTCGAATACGTTTTATTTTATTTTCTTATCTTTTACTTCATATATATTCGTCTCTCTCTCTCTCTTTCTCCCTCTTCTCCTCTTCCTCCCTCCACCCCCATTCGACCGGAAGTTTTGTATTTCGCGTAAAAGCGGAAAATCGTGAAGTAACGGCGAGATTATATCGATTATGATGAAGGAAGGCGGTGGTGGTGGTAGGAGGGACTAAATGAAAATTTTCGGGAAATTTTTTCATCAGTAATATTATTATTATTATTATTAAAGAATTCGGGAAGAAGAGGTGGATTTATTTTAAACGTAGGAATTTTTCTTTTATTCACGAGACGTTTTGATTTGTAACATCCGGCGGAAATAGTTTACAAGGTCAAGTGTTCTTCGCGTCAAAACGTTGAAAATTATTTTAAAATGAATTCAGTTTCAAACGATTAACATTCGCGAGTGGTCGTCTTTTAAAAATACAAAAGTAAATGGAAAATTATAAATTTTATCGTAAAAAAAATTGATTTATATATATTTATAACGTGTGTGAATAGTGTCTTTTTATTTTAAATTTTTTTAATTCGTTTTTTTTTATCGGTAAAATCGAAATTAACGGGAAGTGAAATAAAAAGTTTCCGGTTGGTTGGTTTCTTATGAGACAAAAGCATAAAAATTTTCTTTCCTTTCCTTTTCTTTCTCTACCCCTCCCCCCTTCCCCCCATTTTTTTCCAAAAAAAAAAACATGTATTACTGGAGAAAATACACATTAGGAAATCGGATAAGGTAAGCATTAAATTTAAATATGAACGTATGAAATTATGAGAAAAAAAAAATTTTCGAGAGATTATAAAACGTGGAAAAAAAAAATAAATTAATGGAATTGAATTAATAATGATTGTTAAACAAGAGAGAGAGAGGGAGTAAATGAGGTGTTAAAGATTAAAAAATTATTATTTACATATATAAATATTTATAAAACAACATGAACGAATTGTTGTTGTTTTCTTAAATGAGGAGAAAGAAAAAAAAATTTTTATTAATATAATTACTTTGAAAAAAAAAAGAAAAAGAAAATTCTAGAAATAATATTATAAACGTTATTATGTATCCTTGTAATAATGTATACAACAATTGTTTTGCAAGGTTTAAAAATTTAATTTAATTCTTTTTATTAAAATCTGGAACGATTTCCTTTCACCTTTGATTTCTCCTTGATAAATTTTCTTTTTTTTTTTTTTTGCCAATTATTTTGCAACAACTAATATTAAATTAAATATAATTTTATTATCATTATTATTATTAGTTCGAAACGTTAATAAAATAAGTGAAATGAGTTTACCCTTGTTATGACGGTCGCTTAGTAAAAAAAAAATTTTTTTCCAACTTATTTGACAGTTAAAATGCACACCAAGAAAGGAAGTTTGGAAATAATGTACGTTATGTAATTTTTTTTGAATTATTATAAATAATAACCGTTAATTTCAATCAATCAATCAATCAATCATTCTTATATTTAAATAACAAACTTTACTTAATGTATTTATGTTTTTTTCTTTCTCCAATTGTAATTAAATGTTTTGTCGAATACTCAAAAAGTGAAAACAAAACTAAAAAAAAATAATTTTTTTTAATTATAACAATTGTAAATGTTGACAGGAATGATGATGATGATGATGATGATGATAATGTTGTTGTCGATAAAATATATAGAAAACAATTTTTTAATAATTTTTTTATTATATTAAAATGTAAACATGATTGATACAAAAACTTTTTTTTAAGGTCTTCGTCCAAAAGTTTGAGCAGCTGGTTGTGTGAGTTGCAAACCGCTGATGTTGCTGAATTCCTAAAATCAAAATAACATCATTATTATTATTGTTAAATCACTCGAAACATATTGGCAATTTTGACAAATTGTTTGTTTTTGTTAAAACTCGCTGTTCCTTTTCATTTTTATAAATTTAAACTCATTTATAACCTTATTAGGATACTTTTTAGTAAGGTGATTAAATTATATAAAGAAAATTTGTATCACAATCTAGGGTTGTGAAAGGTTATGAGATGTCGAATGTTTGTAAAAACTCTTTCTTGTTTCTATTCTTATCGAATGAAAATAAAATACTAACCAACATCTTTAACATATCTTTAGTTTCTGGATCTACTTCAATAATATCATGTTCAAGTGCAGATACTTCCGGTACGTAATTATCACGTCTTTCACGTTCTTCTTCTTGAAGTTTTATTGAAATACCTCTAACTTGACTGTGACGTAGCCTTTTCATTAAATGCGTCACGAATCTAAAATAAATAGAGTATTTAAGTCAACATTCAATTTGATAAATGTAAAACGTGGATTTCAATCCGCGAATGAATTCATTTTAATAATAATATTGTATTAAGAAAAAGTGTAATGGCTGACTGTGACCATATTACCCAGCAATTTTATTCCTCAATGGTTTTGTAGGAATGACGGCAATTTCTTCGCATATTCTTTTATTTGTGTGAAAATCCAATGTTAAACGTGTGTAATATTTTTCAATGATATTTCTAGCTGCTTTTTTAACAGTTTTCGTCCTAACACGACCCTAAAAATATGGCATTGTAAACAATTAATATATTCGTTAATATAAATGATTAAAGTGCGTATAAAACTCATTTTTAAAGACGTTCGATGATGAAATTATATAATTAAATAAAATCAACGATAAAACGAATCGGATGTCGGAATAAAAAACGGATAAAATAAAAAAATAAAAATGATTCTCACCATTGCGAATTACTCGTTCACGTAGTACATACAAAACGGTAGAAATATTCTAATCCCACGATAAATTCAAGTTGGCAACACTGTAGAATCTATATGATTGTATTTATTTTTTGTTTTAATAGTAGAAATCATGTTTAGCTTATGTAAAAATACGAGCATGCGTATTTAAAGCGGGAAAACGTAACACAAGTAGAAAATGTCGCCGTAACCAATATTTAAAACAAAAAAAAATATATATATATATTTTTTTATTAATATCATCATCTAAATTTTCGTTTATTTTTATTTACCTGTTTTTATTATACCGTATATAAAATATTACGTATAATTATTTTCACGATGTGATACGGGAATAAACATAAAAGGGAATAAAAAAGGGGGGGAAAAAAGAGAGAATACCGGGAAACGTTTTTTTTTTTTTTTTTCTCGTAAAAATGGGAAAAAATTCGTTTGTTGATGTGAATAAAAGAGAAAAAAACAAATTAATTCGTATAAATATACGTAAACATACGAGTTGTCGTCGCCATTATTATCATCATCGAAGTCGATAAAAAAAAAAATTTTTGCAATGTTGCTTGCACTGTTTGATATCTGCCATTTTGCGTCAGGTGAGTTTTACTGCGAAGAAATGCGAGAGCTATTTGCCAGTTGATTTTCAAACGTTGGACGGTACGGTACTCGACAACACCGCGCACCGCGAATAACACAATCCGTGTGTGTAACAGTCGAAAAATCAAAATTTTTTCGTTTTTTTTCGTTTTCTTTTCGTTTTTTTTAACAGTTTTACTCTCGATAATAATTAATTAATTAATTTTAAAAATTATTACAGTGATTATTAATTTTTAACAACAAAAAAATATTAAAAAAATGCCGCGGAGAATCAATAGATAGCACATTTACATATAATAATTACTACTACTATTATTATTATCATCATAATTTATCAACGGTTATTTTTATTTCTACCATTTTTTTTCTTTTTCGTTTCGTTTTCTGTTTTTTGCATTTAATTAAAATAATTATCATTTTTCGGTTTTTTTTTTACGTCGACATCATCATCATTAATATTATTATTAAAAAGTGAGTAAGTGCGTTTAATGTGTCGATAATTATTATTATTATTATTATTAATAAGGGAAAAATGTATTAATACGTTAATAAAAAGGAGGCCATTATTAACATCATCATCATCGTCGTCATTGTCGTCGTATGACAATATTATAACCAGGAGCAATTAATAAATTGTTTTATCAGGTTTGCTAAAAATAATTTCGTTCAACTTTCTTTTATTTAGAAAAAAAAAAAAAAAAAATTTTTTATTTTAATAGAATTTTCTAGTAGAATAAAAACGACGAAAATGTAATGAGACAGAGAGAGATAGAGGGGGGGGGGGGGAAGAGAGAGAGATACAAAGTGTAGTAATCGTAATGCGCGTACTTTTATTTTCGTTTCGGCCATTTTTATTTTTTCTTTTAAATAAAAAAAATTTTATTAAAAAATAAATTTGAAAAGATGAAAAAGAATTATTATTATTATTATTATTATTATCATTATTAATAATTTATATATATATGTGAAAAAAATGCACATGACAACCTTATCAAAGTGGGTCAGTTAAAACTTCCGGTATAAGCCCCGTAGTAGGTTGATTGGCTCAATCACGAATATCCGTTTAAAAAAAGTTCGTTCGTTCGTTCGTAACGTTTTTTCTTTCTTTCAAACGCACGTCGTCGTTCCGGAACGTTTCGAATGCGCGACGGTTGAAATTTAAAAAACGCAAGTGGGATTTTTTTTTTTTTGTATGTGTGTTATTTATTTATTTCATGACGTCAAAAAGGAACCTTTTCAATTTATTTATTTATTTTTTTTCAACGTTTTTCTTTTTGAATTTTGAATTTTTCTTTTTTTTTAATTCTTTACTTATTATTATTATTTAATTTGATAAAAAAAAAAAAAAAAGAAAAATTTGTATTTGGTGTAAAATTATTTATTCGTCGTCGACGACCTTCCATTTTGTTTTTTTTTTTTTTACAAAACTCGATGAAAGAAAATAAATAAAATAAAAAAAAAAAATGTCGTAAAAAGTAAAAGTTAACTTGTTTTAAAAAAAAAAACACAATTCATTTTATGTATATATATATATTTTATTCACTCTCTCTCTCTTTTTCTTTCCCTCTCTCTCTTTCTCTCTCTCTCTCTCTCTCTCTCTCTCTCTCTCTCTCTCTATTCTCGATTTCATTTCGTTCGTCGTTCGTTGTTCGGGTACATGGGTTTGGGGGGGTATGTATGTAAAAAGGGAATGGGTATGTAAAAAGTGAATGAGAAATAATAATAATAATAATAAAATTAATTAGGTTAAAAATTATTATTATTATTATTATTATTATTGAATTCGGCCTCGATGAAAATAACATTTATATACTCTATGACCGTTATTTCCAACGACTGACTATTACGACGATTGTAAGACAAAAAAAAAAAAAAAAAACGTGTTCAGCAAAATGTTTAAAAAAAAAAAAAAAATGAGTTCATACGAATTATTATTATTATTATTATGTTGCCGAAATATTTTTTTTTTTATTTTCAATATGGAACATTGTTTTTTTTTTTTTAGTACTTTTTTTTTCATTAGTAATGATGATAATAATAATGATAATAATGGTTATGTAACAATTTTTTTTTTTACGAGTGCAAAATTTATTTGTGTTTAACGTAGTCTAGTTTCGAGTTTTTGTTTTATCGTGGCACTAACGAAAGTTGGATGTGGAAAAAAAAAAAGAAGAAAACGTGGTGGAAACTTTTTTTTTGGGGGGGAAGGGAGGGTAAATTCGCGCCTTTCGTCAATCAATCGTAAAATGATTCTTTATTATTAAGAGTTTTTTTTTTGGGGGGGGAGGAGGGGCGAAGGATTTAAGTAAATGACGATTATCAAAATAGGAAAACGTGACGTATTTAACGAAAAATAAGGAAAGGGGAGGGAGGAAGGAAAATGGCGCGGATTTGCACGATTTAAAAAAAAAAAAAAGAAAAAAAACAAGAAGAAAAAATTATTTTCTCGAGTCCTTGTTTTTGTTTTGTAAATTACCATACTCGTTTTTACTTTTTCGCCTCTCTCTCTCTCTCTCTTTTAATTCTATATGGTTTTTTATCTCTTTCTTTCTCTCACTTTTTCATTACTCTCATTTATACGAATGCTATACGCACACACACACACACACACACATTGCTGGGTTGTTTGAAAAACAACAACAACAACGGTTACGAAGTTTGTCGAAAGTGAGAGAGTGAATGATAGAGAGAGAGGGGGAGAGAGAGAGAGAGAGAGAGAGAGAGAGACCACTTTCAATTTTTATTTAATATCGAATCCAGTACATGACAGATTCGATTCGATAACTCGTAACGAGAAACGTAAAAATATTTTCACTTTAATAATTTTTTTGCGTTTTTTTTTTTTGGGGTTTCGTTAACGCCCATTTTTTTTTCGCCTGGAACATATAACGGTCCAATTAAAAAAAAAAAATTTAAATGGAACAAACGAATAGAAAAAAAAAAAAAAAACGGCCGCGAAAAAAAAAAACAAAGAAAACAAACGAGTGAATGTTTGTCCGTTTGTTTGTTTGTTTGTTCGCACGGTTATACCTCGAAGTGAAAATGATTTGAAAACATTCGAGTTAAAAAAAATAAAAAGGACCGGACGAAATCCGTCCATATTTTTTTTTTTTTTACATCCATCCATCTATCTATCTCTTCCAGTTATGGAATTTTTATGGAATTTCACTTTCTTCCAAACGTAATTTTTATTTTTAATGTTTTTTTTTTAGTTTTTTGGAAATCTTTTCGATAACTATAACTCGTTTTATTTTCTCGTTATTATAATCGAGTTATGTCAAATTGTACGGCCATTTTTTTCGTTTCGTTTCCCTTTTTTTTTTTTTTAATAAATAAATTTTTTTATTCTTTTTCCACGTTCGTTAGGAGTCGTGTGCATGTGCGTGCGTGTGTGTTGCGATTCTCTGTCTCTCTCTCTCTCTATATCGATTTCAAAAAAGAAAAATTAATTAATTATTAATTAAATTTTGATTAATTAATTTTTCCTTCGTTTTGTTGGTTTTTTTTTTTTTTTAAAAAAAGTTTTTCTATTTAAAAAATTTTCCCTGAAAATTTTTTTTTTATGTTAGACGTATAAAAATTTGAAATATAAATAATGATAATAAAAGTGAAAACTTTTCGTTTTATAAATATTAATATTATTATTATTATTATTATTATTATTATTATTATTATCGTACGACGTTAAAGAAATGTTTTAAAAAAAAAAGCAAAAAATCGTTTTCGTTTTTTTTTTTGCCGCCATTAAAATCCGTTAAGTGAAAAGTTAAACAGAGAATATTTGATTCGTAAATCGATCGATCGATTTATCGATTTATCGACAAATCGATTTTTAAAAAGTTTTTTTTTTTTTTTTTTTTTTTTTTATATTCACGAAGTGAACGACGTGTGTGTGGAACGCGGCGTGCCTTAGTTAGTAACTTTTCATATAACTTTTACTCCATTAATAAAACGCGCGTTAACGTTACGTAAGTTTTTTTTTTTTTTTTTTTTTTTGCAAAAAATTAAATTAAATCAAAAACGAAAAACTTTCTATCTATCTATTAATTAATTATCGATTTCTATATTTTTGAATTTAAAAAAAAAAAAAAAAATTGGCGGGAAATTTAAATTTTCAATCCTTTCGAACGGTTTATAATCTACGTCATAGATGTGATAATCGAAAGCGTACGATCGTAATTAATTACCTTTTCATTTTTTTTTTTTTTTTAAATCAGTTAAGAATATACGATTTTAAAACCGTCGTGGAAGAAGAAGATGATGCTGATGATTAAAAATTAGCGGGAATTTAACACGTTTTGATAATTTTAAAATAATTTTTTTTTGCACGAATTAGTTTACGTTTTTGTTGTCGTCACTTCGATCGTTTTTTCGACTTTAATAATTTATTTAAT